AAGCAGACTCTCCACTGAGCAGGGAGCCCAATGGGGGACTTGATCCCAGGACTCTGGGATCATGACTTGAGCCAAAGGCAGACGCTCAACCAACTGAGCCACCCAGGCGTCCCAGAAGAGGGAAAGAAATTTTGAATAAGATAAAATTGATTATCTGCTCCTAATTCAAACTCAGTTACTGGACTTCATCAGATCATCAGCCATACCTCAGTTTCCCAAACAAATAATCCACAGTGACATTTTAATATATTGTCTTCCAGTCTTAAACTATTCTTATTTTTAGCACAGTTAAATTCATAATCTATATATAATTGTGTGTCCTTATTGGGTTTTTCTCTCCCACATCAGTTCACACTAGAATTGTCAGTGAATGCGATTTTTATTAATTGCTGCATATGAACATACCATAATTTAATCATTTTCTTATCACTGAGTGAGCCTGTTTGTAGGTTTCATTTTTTCAATTGCAGCGTATGTTGTAGCGAGCAGCTCCATACACGGTCATTGTCTGCATTTTGGAACGTTAATTAAGCACTGACTCCAAAAGGTGAAACAACTAATTCAGGGGGCATGAGCACCCCTAAGCCCCAGGATAAATACTGCCAGGAAGATGGCACACATTTGCACCACTGCCAGCAGTGTGAAAGAATACACAACACAAGTTTAAAATTCTGTCACTTTTTCCTTTGCCAGTGTAATAGGTAAATGATAGGTTCAATCGAAATTCTTGGCAGTCTTTGTTACATGCACACCCACACTTCCAGAGTGCAAGTCCCCTGTCTCACTCACGCCTTTGTCCTAAGTGTCAGACGTTTCACTGTGGTTTCAGCTGAACGTCATGAGACAGAGACTTTCCTCAGGCACCTTACATTCAACAGACCTAAAAACCAAAACCACTTTCTTTAATTCCAAAATATATTCTGCACCCCTGACTCCCAATCTGTTTTAATGAATTTTATCTCTGCTTTCACCTCATTCTGAGTTTCACTCCTTTCCGCCTCAACTATGCAGTAGCCTCCGGCATCCTTTCCTTGGGTCTCTTGTCTCCCCTTTGCAACAGTGACCTATACTCTTTTTTTTTTTTTAAGATTTTATTTATTTATTCGACAGAGAGACACAGCAAGAGAGGGAACACAAGCAGGGGGAGTGGGAGAGGGAGAAGCAGGCTTCCCGCTGAGCAGGGAGCCCGATGCGGGACTCGCTCCCTGGACCCCGGGACCACGACCCGAGCCGAAGGCAGACGCTTAACGACTGAGCCACCCAGGCGCCCCAGTGACCTATACTCTTGCTAATCAGCTTTCTTCAAAACAAAACAAAACACTAACAATCATTAGGGACACCTGGGTGGCTCAGTTGGTTAAGCATCTGCCTTCAGCTCAGGTCCTGATTGGGATCGAGCCCCGCATCCGGCTCCCTGCTCAGCGGACAGCCTGCTTCTCCCTCTCCCTCTGCCCCTTTACCCTGCTCATGCTCTCTCTCCCTCTCTCTCAAATAAATAAAATTAAAAAAACAAAAACTAACAAACTAAACTTTATTATGTACCAGGCATTTATTTTTTTCATATATATTTTCATTTTAAATACAATCTAACGTGGGGCTCAAATTCATGACCCCAAGATCAAGAGTCACATGCTCCACCTACTGAGCCAGCCAGGCTCCCCCCAGGCATTGTTACAAACATCTTAATAATAACTAACATGTATTAAGTGCCAGACACCATTCTGCAAATATGAATTCATTTAATCCTCACAAGAAAGCCAAGAGAGAGAGCTACAATGATTATCATCCTTACAGCAAAGAAAATTAAGCCACAGAGCCGTTAAGAACTTGCTGTGGGGGCACCTGGGTGGCTCTGTCGGTTGAGCGTCTGACTGTTGGCTTCGGCTCAAGTCCTGATCTCAGGGTCGGGAGATCGAGCCCCGAATTGGGCTCCGTGCTCAGCTCACATCTGCTTGAGATTCTCTCTCCCCTTCTCTGCCCGTCCCCACTGCTTGTGCTCTAAATAAATAAGATAGATAAATAAAAATTCTTAAAAAAAAAAAAAAAAAAAAAACAGTTGCTGTGGTCCCAAGAGCTAGCCCCTGGCAGGGCAGGGGTCGCATTCCACGCGGCCTGGTCCTGGGCGCTGCACGCTGGCGCCTGTAAGATGCTCCTGTCTTCCCGCTGCTCAGAGCCGCGCGTGACTCCCCACTGCAGGCCCGGAACTTGGTCTTCTCCATCTTTGTATCTTCTCACCTCACACACTGCTAACTAAATAGCACATCAGTGAAACTGAAATGAAGTCACTCTCTGCCATCCTCTGCGGCCTGCCATTTCAACCCCACTGCCCCCCACTTCCTCTCAAGAACCTTTACTTTCCGCCAAGTCCCGGTCCCTGTCCCTGAACACACCAGCCGCTTGCACCCTCAGCCTGCCTCAGGTGTCCCCTACCTCACTCAGAGATCTGCCCGTTGAAGTCCGGTTTGTCCTTGAAACCCCAACTAAAATGTCACATGGTCCGTGAAGCGTACCCCAGGTCTTGCGGCGGCCGTCCCTCGCTTTCTCCTCCGTCTGACTCCAGTGTGATTCACTTCCCTGGCTCAGGCCCTCTGCTCGGGCGTGACTGCGAATGAGACATGCAGGCTCCTGGGCTCCTGAGCTGTAGTCCCCGTTGGCTAACAAGCACTGAACAAACAAGCCAACAACTATTTCAGCAAAATAATTTCAGGTGCCAATAACTGCTGTGGAAAGCCAAGGAGAAACAGGGGTGATGTAGAGTGCCTGGGAGGGGCACTCCAGCTGGGACAGTTTGGAAGTCACTGCTGAGATGGTCAAATATGAGCTAAGATCTGAATGATGGGAAGAAACCAGCCACGGGAAGAGAAAGGCAGAGGGACCTGCTCGTGCAAGTGCCCTGCGCATCGGCCGCACTCAGCGGTTAGGGCGTTAAAGAAGGTCACCATGGCCGGAGCGCTCCAGTGAGAACTGAAGAGGAAGAGGAAGATGGAGAGTGGACAGACACCAGGTTTTGGAGGACCTTAGAGGCCAAAGTAAGGTAGTTAGATGTCAGTCTAAGTTCAAGGAAAGCCATTGGAAGGGTCTAAGGAGGACTGTGACATCACCCCTGCTTTTAAAAGATCACTCTACAAAACCATAAGGTTGTGTCACCTCACACCTGTTAGAATGGCCATGGAAAGAAAGGAAGGAAGGAAGAAGAAAGAAAGAAAAAAAAAAAAGGAAAAAAAAAAAAAAAAAAAAAAAAAAAAAAAAGAAAGAAAGAAAAGAAAGAAAGAAAGAAGAAAAAGAGAAAGAAAGAAAAAGGAAGAAAGAAGGAAATGGAGGGAGGGAGGAGGAGAGGGAAGAAAATAATGAGTGTCGGCAAGGATGTGAAGAAGTGAAAACACTGGAATCCTTATACACTGTCAGTGGGATTGTAAAATGATGCAGCTGCTGTGGAAAACAGTGTGGAGGCTCCTGAAAAAACTAAAAACAGAACTACTATATGACCCAGCAATCCCACTTCTGGGTATGTACCCACAGAATTGTGAAGAGATATTTGTGTACTCCTGTTATCACAGCATTATTCACAAGAGCCACAAAAGCAGTCGAAATGTCATTCAGCAAACGGACAGATAAAGAAGACGTGGTATATGCATTCAGCCTTACAAAGGAAGGAGGGAGGCCTGTCACACACCACAGCATGGATCTTGAGGACATCAGACGACATGAAATAAGCCAGTTACAAGAAGACAGATACGGTACAGGTCCGCTTAGGTGAGGTATCTAGACTAGTCGGACTCTTGGAAAGTAGAGTGGTGGTGGCAGGGGCTGGAGGGGGTGGGGGGAGGGGCAGGGGGAGTTGTTCAGTGGGTAGAGGGCTTCAGTTTTGCAAGATGAAACACTAGATAGAGATCTGTTCCACAACAGCGTGCATATGCTTAATGCTACTGTCGTGTGCATGCAAAAATAGTATGACGGTGAATTTTATGTTTTTTTACAACGATAAGAAAGATCACTCTAGATGCTGTTAAGAATCACCTGGCGGCGGGGACGTAGGGAGGGAATGGCAAGAGTGAAGTGGGAGACCACAGTTAAGAAGCAACAGTAAGAGATGAGGGTGGCACGGACCATTGCAGGTGGAGAAGAACAGACTGGGAGTCAATTTTAAGAGTTCAACCGACAGGATTGGCAGATAAATTGGATATGGGGATAGAGAAAAAGGAAGAAGCAAGACTGACTCCCAGGTTTGTGTTTTCAAGCAACTGGGTGGACAATGTTGGCATTTACTTAGGAAAAACCGGGGGGATGTCAGCAAGAGGGACCAACCAGGAATTCAGGTTTGGGCTTACCTGAGACGGCTGTTAGACGTCCAAGTGGACACATCTGGGAGGTAATCGAATCTGACTCAGGGCGGGTGTGTTACTTTGGTATTGAAAGGTATGAGACTGGAGATTTCCTAGACCCAGAGGGAGAGGAAGGGCGAGAGCCCAGAACCAGGACCTCATGCTAAGTGCGCATGCGGAGCTTTGGTGGGATGAGGGGTGAGCCGGGGAGCCAGAGGGGCAGCCAGGGAGGAAGGGGAAGACTGGGAGAGGGTAATATTATCTCAAGTAACGTTCTCGGGGCCGGAAGCCCTTGTTCTCTCTGCTTAGGAGAGTCTTAGGATTTACCGAGATGTCAGGGTGGTTTGTCTTCTCACCTCACTAAGGTCACTTCTTCGAAGAGGCTCTCCCCAATCCCCCGACCTAAAGAAGTGCACCTTGCCACCTGCCCTGCTGTCAGGACACTGACTCTGCCTATTACCAGGCAATACAAATCCTAATGATCGCTTTAATTTATAAACAGTCTTGATTTGGTCATTTGCAATGTTTGGTCCCATGTAAATAATGTAAACCTCATATTTCATTTGAATGAACATTCTCCTCCCAATCTCCAGCTGGCGTCAGCAGCCGCAGAGGGGAAGCCAAGACCTAGAAGAGAAGGAGCCAGAGGGAGAGGAAAAGACGCTCGAAAGTTCTTACTTGATCCGTACCATCTGCTTCAACTGGCTTTGTGCTTAAGCCAGAGTGAGACACAGACTCTTTCCTGAGAGAAGTGCGTTGGTGAGTCTTCAGAGACCCCTGACCCCATCGGTCCCTGCGGGATCTCTCCCTCAAAGTCCCCTGATGCCTCTCTGTCTTTTTGCTTCCTCAAGCGGGCAGGAATCCAGCTCAGGTCTGCGAGGTTCTGTTCTCATCTCCAGGCAATCCTTTGGCCAAGACCTAAGATGCCACTAGCTCCGCCTTCTCTTGCAGGGAGCTCGGCCCACTTGATGCCCCGCCCACCCGGTAGACCCCGGAAGTGCAGCTAGCCCACACCCGCCCTCTCCGTCTCCCACTGTCAGCGCCTTACTGGAGAGCTCACAGGGAAGTCAGACTCCGCTCCGCTGTGTCCCTCCACTGCGGGGGATGTAAGTAAAAGGGGGGGGGGGGGAGGGCGGCGGTGCCCATGGATGCCCTTCTCACTAAGGTGGAAGTGAGCACTAGGCACCCCAATCTTCTCCTTTGAGGCTTACTCACAGCACACCCACACTTCTCCCTAAAAGCCTCTTCATAAATCATTCTCCTCATATCCAGCGTCTATATGCCACTAGAGGAAAGTGAGGCATTCACAAGCTTTTAATGAAATCTTTTGAAAATGTGCATGTTGATGTGGTCTCCTACATTAGAATATGAGGTTTTGGTCCCTCGGTGAAGCTTCCATTTTTATATCCTGTTACACAGTAGTAAATGCTACATGAAGAAAATAAAGCAGGGTAATAGAATAAAGGGGGATTGGGAAGTGCTGTTTTATTTTATCACAGAATAAAAACCATTTAAAATGTATTTAATTTAGAAAAGGTAATTCAGTGACATGAATCAGACACAAAAACGTATTAAAAGGTGTTCAGGGAAAGCCTCCTTCCCACCCCTGGCCCCCATTCACCTGTATCTCCCCATGCATCCTGCCCAGGTAACCTGTCTAAATGCTTTTGTGTGCGTCCTTACTGGGTTTTATTAAATATAAACAAGCAAATACAAGCATGTACTATTCTTATTTTAGCCCCTCCTTACAGAGATGGTAGCCTGCCACCCATGCTGTTTTGCACTTCGCTTTTTTACCTGATTGTATATCTTGGAGAGTTTCCCATATCAGGACTTGGAGATCTTCCTCATTCTCCTTTATAGCTGCAAATTAAGAAAGTAGTCCATTGTATGAATGCTCTGTAATTTATTTAACCTGTCCCCTATTGAGGAACATTTAGGTAGTTTGCAATCTTTTGTTATTTCAGATAATGTTGTAATGGATAACTTTATCCTTATGTCATTTCCCACGCATGCAACTGTATCTGTAGGATAACTTTCCAGAGGTGGAATCCCTGGGCCAAAGGGCATGCATGTGTGTGACTTGGGTCACTATTGCTAGATTGCCCCGCAAAGGGGCAGAACAAATTTATATTCCCATCAGCCTGTATCCAGGGTGTTCGCTTAGCAGGTTGTTGGGGTGGCTTCTCTGCAGAGTTCACATTTGAGCAGCAGTCTGAACCTCAAAAAGGAGCCATCCATGTGAAACTCTAAGGGAAGATCATTCCGGGTAGAGGGAGCTAGGGTCAAGGTCTGAGGTGGAAATAAGCTCAGAACACCATAACTGTCAGTGAATGAGGGGGGCCAGGAACAAGGTAGGTTGGGGGCCTTAGCAGGAGCCGGATTGTGTAGACCCAGGTTGGAAGTTGGGATTTTATTCCAAGTGGCATGGGCAGTCATCGTAGGCGGTTGAAGTGGAGACGTGAGGTGATGTGTTTCCATTTTAGAAGATTACTGCCTGCTTCTTTAAAATGTCTAACTGTGTGTCTTGCTCACCAGAGCAGACCACATGCTTAGGTGCAATGTAAACATCCATCCTAAAAGCCTCTTCTCAGCAAAGATCTAAGAAAACTGTAGATACACAGGGACTTAAAGACAAGCCAACTTTGGTGAGGCCCGAAGACCTAAGTCACACTACAGATCCATACCATGTAAGTTTAAAAACAACAGAAGGGAAAGGATGCCCATGTAAATCATGGAGGCTCAGAAACAGGATGAACTCAGTCTTGCCTCCAGCTGCATGCAGACACTTAACTTTAGTGTTTTTATTATTCATTTCCTGGTACTGGTTTCCTTAACTCAGGACAAAGGTAAGGATTCTGTAGTCCATGGGAATGCTGATCCTGACGTGAGCATACCTTGTTCTTCCTTCTGTTTTCCATCTCCCTGATATAGTGGCGAAAGGACATCAACAGAAAAGTTACATGTTAACAAGTTCATGCATCTTGCACAGTTTATAATGACCTTCAATTTCAGGTCAACTCTCTAGGCCTTTCCTTAGAAACGAGACAATGATTTCATCTGTCCTGACAGTTGGACACATTGGCAAATAATCACCACCAAATGAATGCTGAGGGGAAAGGTGCTCCCTTCACCCACTGGGCCCCATTATGGAGTATGTGTTGTAGTACATTGCCTTTAGCATCTGTTTTTACTGGAACACTTATTTACTCCTTCAGTGACATTGTTTGGACATCTTAGTCATCTGCCAACGTGTACCTTTGGTTGCCTGTGTCAGCACCGTTTTAGATTTGCTACTTCAGAGGACGCTGCTGCCTTAGCACCCACGTCTGCTCTGACCGCAGGGACTTTGTCCAGCACTCCGCTTTGGGCACAGCTCTCAAAGGCCAGCAACTGCGCAGTTTTGGGGGCCCGTCTGCCACGCTCAGCGGACAAGCACTGGATGCAGCCAGACAACTTCTGCATCCCCTCAGGTCCTTGGAAGCAAGAAGGAATTCTATCGAGCAGGAAGGGATGAGAGCCTGAAAAGGAATAGATAGACTTCTGGAAACTCTACTGGGTCTGGCAGTTGGGGGTTGGGGCTCAGGCAATTGAACTGTAAGAATGTAATAAGGAGGGGCGCCTGGGTGGCTCAGTTGGTTAAACGTCTGCCTTCGGCTCAGGTCATGATCTCAGGGTCCTGGGATCGAGTCTTGAGTTGGGCTCCCTGCTCAGCAGGGAGTCTGCCTCTCCCCCTCCCTCTGCCTGCCACTCCCCTCCCCCTGCTTGTGCTCTCTTGCTCTCTCTCTGTCAAATAGATGGATAAAATCTTTTTAAAAAAATGTAATAAGGATGAATTCCACCTTCCAGTTGGATGGCTTAACAGCAGCCTTCTCTCTTTACTGTGACCAATATTTCTGTGTCCAGAAGTTCCTGGTGATTATCTTCTAGAAAGTTTCCCCTTCAACCTGCCTTGTCAAGACTCAATGATAATATCTTCATTCTAAATACATTTCTCAATTCCAGTAGACTTTTTAAACTCGTGACCTGCACTTGACCTACATATGAATTCCTATTTTGAAATTTTCTCTATTTAAGGTAAATTATTCCCAGGGCCCATGGTGATATTTTTCATAATCAGAGACATTTGACCCTCCTCTTGCCCACCTATATCACTGGGACACTTGGTTCTCTGGCCATTAAGCTTACTATTTTTTCTTCATTAATACACTCCCATTCTAAACAGTCTATATGATAACTTTTCTTTTTCTAAGTGCAAATGTATGAGCTATTGTGGATGGTAATTGTACTTGTTTTGGTCAGGTGTTTTACCTCTTCAATCAGAATTTGTGGTTGTGTATTTTGCTTCACACCATGGTAAGCAAGTTTTCCTCATTTCTGAGCATCTTAATTTTTTTCCTTCAACATTTTATTGCTGTTAAGATAAGAAAAACTAAAATACCACCAAGAAAAAATGAAACACTTTCTCCCACTATTTTGCTTCTAAAGACTGGAGTGGTTAAACCAGCACAGGTAAGTTCTGGCTGTGTCTATTCCACACCATCTTCTCTTGAGGTGGCAAATGCGATGTTCACATCCCTTTGGTGTAAATAGGTACCATTTTGCAACTGTTGTGGGTTGCAGAATTTGGGAAATTCTTCCTGGTTAAATAGTAACTGGGTCTAGACTGTTCCTCACCTCTTTAACATTCAGGGTTTGGGGCGCCTGGCTGGCTCAGTCAGTAGAGTGTGCGACTCTTGATCTCAAGGTTGTGAGTTTGAGCCCCACATTGGGTGTAGACATTATAAATAAATAAACTTAAAAAAAACATTCAGGGTTCTGTTTATCCTCAAGAACAATTCTTTTACCTTTATTAGGAAGAATATTCTTTCTGAATACATGTATCAGAGCTTTTAGTTGAAAGCAATGGAAACCAACTCTGGCTAATTTAAACAGAAAGGATTTTAAGAGACTAAAGGTGAAGCTTCTCCTTAAAGGTGGTGATTTGAAGATAGACATTTACCTCTGTGACCTCCTAACACCTCTCTGTTAAAGGGAATTTTTTTAAAGGTAGGCTCCACACCCAACATGGGCCTAGAACTCACGACCCTGAGATCAAGAGTTGCACGCATTACTGACTAAGCCAGCCAGATGCCCCTGGGGCATTTTTATTTAAAAAAAAGAAAAGACAAATTCAAGGGTTAAAGAGAGTAAGGGAGGTAACACAGTAACACAGTTTTGGAAGCTAGAAGACAAAGAGCACCTTATTTAGCACCTGGAGAAAGTTGAATCCTAAACTGGAAAACTCACATGCACTAAAGAAACTTCTCAAGGCTCAGAAATTGATTGTACTTGGTACTTCTGCGAGATAAGGCCGAAAGAGAGAGATTTGCAGACCTACAGCTGAAAATGTTGGAGATCTACCAAGAACCCAGCTTAAGCGAGCAGAGTGAGAAAGAAAAGAGGGTAGAACATGAAGCAGGAAAGCAAGCCAAGGAGCCAAGGGCTAATGAGAGAGGGCGTTCAGAGCACACTGAGGAGTTTGGATGTTCTTCTAAAGGGGATGGAAGATTTGTAGAGGGGATGGGGAGTCCATGTAACAAGTTGAAAGTGTAAATGGTACAGGACCTAAACCTGCCCCTCTCACAAGATTAAATGACTTGAGGGGGGTAGGTATATGGCCCACACTGGGCCAAATTAGGATCAATCCTGGGACTTCTGTTTTACTTTTGGAAAATCATTTCTCTCTTTTCCTTTAGGGGACTAAGTCAATAGGATGTAGGCCTGGAACTGTGGGGGCCATCACCATCCTCCAGCCTGCCTGAGAATGATGCCAACACAGAGAAAACAGACAACAGGAGAGAAATACAAAGTGACAGAGGAACCAAATTTTGATGACATTGTGTGAGCCCTTGAAT